GCTCCTCCGCTCCTCCGCTCCTCTGCTCCTCTGCTCCTCCGCCCCTCCGCTCCTCCGCTCCTCTGCTCCTCCACTCCTCTGCTCCTCTGCTCCTCATCCATATGATCGATGCTAACGTGCTTTCCTTGCTCCGTCGATGCAGGATCCCTGATGTTGGCATTCGGAACTTGGTTCGGCAGATGATTTCCCTCAACATCAGGGAGCGGTGCTCGGTGCTCAATCACCAATCAAACTTCATGGTCAGCGGGCCATTCCCCCAGTTCTTCGACACCTATCACCTTGTGCGACCCTTTTTCCTTCTTTTTTTTTCATTCCATCTCTTGCCATTCCTCGGCACTGCCCCTGGCTTCGGCGCCCGTGCTAATCGGCTTCTCCTTGCCATCTTTCCTTGACCAATCCCCCTCTTTCTCGCTCGCCCGTCGCTCCCTCTCGCCGTCTTGTGGTGCGGGCATGCGCGCACGCGTGCTCCTTCCTTCGGGGGGGGGGACCCACAGCTTGCCAAGTCGTTTGTCGATCACTCGGGAGGCCTTGGCAGCCCCCTCACCTCGGAGGACCGTCTGGCTCAGCTCCATACCATGTTCGATGCCCTCGTCAATCTGGTGGCCGACTCCGCCTCGCCCGGGCCCCGGGCCATTTCGCCATCGCAGTCGGCCGAACCTCTGAATGTCGCACAGCCAAATTCCCCCAAGGGCGCCTCTGGCCCCTGGAGGCCCCCGCATCCCCGGGACTTCCCATGTGTGCCGTCTTTGCATTTGGAATCCTTCCCGCTGGGATGGTTCTCCCTCTCACAGCCCATGTACGCCTTCCGAGGCTTTTTTTTTCTGTCACTCCCGGGCGCACCTTCCCCTCCTGCTGTTGGCCCGTCTCACACACTGGTGTGCCTTCCCTCTCACCGCCCTCCCTTCTCCGGCCCGGCCACAGGCGCCTCCCCTCGGTCTCGACCAAGTCGGCCAACGGCTTTTTGCTGCTACTCTCGATTGTCACGAGCACCGTGCAAACGCTCACCTCGGCTCGGTATCGGGCCCTGGCCTTGGAGCTGCTGCTGGTCCTGTCGGTCGGCTTGCCGGACCACATCCGCCTGACGCGCGTCCTGCCCTACATCCTGGCTCTCGGCCAGCGGTCGCCCACGGTGACCGAACTCTCGCGCGTCTACTTCGCGGTCTTCCAGCTTTTCTCCATGATCAAGCTTCCGACCCCCTTCTCCTACCAGATGCTGGTGTACTATGCGCTGCCGCAGCTGCGTGACATGCTCCCCCAGCCAGCCCACTGGTATGACCTGCTGTATTCCACCTGGTCACGCTGCCTGGGCCTGGCGGCGCGCTTCGCCGCGCGGTTCTTCTCCGCGGCACACAGCATCCAGTCGACAAGCGCCGGGACCCGGTCGGCTGACTCTGGCATGGAGATCACCCCCCCCACGGCCAACAACCCCCTGGCCTTTGCCTTCCATGCGGCCGGGGAGCTGGATCAGCTCCGGGACTTCTTCAATCAGCAGGTCAAGGAACTGAGCGACTCGCCGAATTTGCTGGTCACCCGGGCGTTGCTGCTCTCCCTGCCGGACATTGCCCTGTTGTATCCCTTTGGCCCGGCGCTGGACTCGCAATTGGCCAACAGCTCAGATCACAACAGCCAAATGTCCGACAAGCAGCTGCAATTGCAAATGTTCCTGCCCACCTTCTTCAGCAAGCAGCAGGATCGCAGCTTCCGCGTGTCGCTTGTCGAAACGGCCCTCTACGTGGGAGCCATGCTGGACGCTCGTCGAGGCCACTACCTGGAGACCAACCTCCTGCACATCATCTTCGCGCAGTTTCACCTGACCAGCTCCTTCCCGCTGTCCATCACCGCGGCGGTGGCGGCGGCGGCGGCGACCGCAGCCGCGGCCGACAATGGCCCGGAGGGTGGCATCGGCCACGGGGAGGATCAATCCCCGGGCTCGGCCATGGCCCGGCAGCAGCATCCCTCGACCGGGGCCATGCCCCCGCTGGAGCTGTACTTTGCCTCGAGCTTCCTGGATGATTCGCAGCTCTCGGCGGCCGCCTGTTCGGCTCTCGGCCGGGCTCTGGAGCTGGGGTTCCTGTCGAGCCCGATGCTCATTCAATCGATCGTGGAGCATGTGCTGCCCTTCTTGGCCCTGCGGCCGGTGGCTCTGCGCCAGGCCGCGGTGTATTGCGTGGCGCGAGCCTTCCTGGCCTTGCCGGATCCGGTGTCGCGCATCTACCTGCTGGCTCCGTTGCTGGTGCCCTTCGTTCGGTATCCAGTTCTTGGGCTCGTGGCGCCCGAGGGCCCGGAGGCACGGGACCTCCAAGCCGGGGCATCGTCCAATCCGCACTTGCGCCGACGCTACCTCCACCTGCTGGAGCGTCGGCTTCTGGAGGCCCTTCTGCCGCCGCTGACTGCGCGGCAGCTGAATGACCTGCTCAACCGCACCTGCATCATGATTGCCGGGGCCGGCAGTGGGGTTGGCGGCACGAGGCCCCTATCGATGGCCGCGGCGCCCGGGACCAGCGGCCCGATGGGCGGCTCGGCCGGCGGCCCGACCGATCCCACGGAGCAACTGCGGCAAGCGCTGGCCGCCGACGCGACCGCCGATCGGCGCCTGCTGTCCTTCGTCAAGTACATGCACCAGCTGGCCCGGTCGCTGCCGAAGTTGCCGGATCTGCCACGTGCCCCTGCTGGCCTGGCCCCCTCGGCGGCCGGGACCAATGTCCTGGTGTCTCGGCCCTCTGGCGGCATGGGCGCCACCAGGGACCCGGGCACCGAGGCCCCCCCTCCGGGCACCGGGGTGTATACGGTCAACTCGAGCAACATCTATGCCGGGGAAAGTCCCCAAGCCTTGGCCGATATGAATCCCAGTCGTGCATTGAACCTGGCGCCGGCCGGGCGCCCGGGGCCTGGCGATGGGGATACTTTGTATGCGGAGTTTGACCTGTGGCCGGCACTCCCAAGTGACAGCGGCGCCGAGGGTGGCGCTGGAACCTATGGGATGGGCCCGCCTCCAGGGCTGCCCCCGGCGGCGGATGCCCGCCGCGCGGCCGACGCCGAGGCGGCCCTCGCTGCCCCCTCTGGGGTGCTGTTCATGCTTCCGGCTCCCGATGGGCTGACGGTGACCCGGCTGCTGCCGCAGCTGCCAACCATGCCGGTCATGCTGCCGGCCAGCAGTGTCGCCGGTCCGGGCAAGCGCCAGTCGGCCAATGGATATGCCCGGTCAGGGTCTACGGCGGCGGCGGCGGCGGCGGCGGCGGCGGCTGCGGCGGCGGCGGCCGCCGCCGAGCCTCCCGGGCTGGTGCTTGGGTCGCCGATTTCCGAGGTGTCCGCGGCAGCCGCGGCCACCGGGCTTTTGCCCCCGCAGCTGACTCGGCCGGCCGGTGCGGGGCCTCAATTCCCGCTGGGAATGCCCGACGCAGTGACCACCCTCCCCGGACGCCACCACCATGGGACGATCCTCCACCATCGGAGTGCCATCACCCACCTGGTCACCAGCCCGGACCAGGGGTTCCTCCTGTCGGCCGATTCCTCCGGGCGCCTTTGCCTCTGGCGGGTGGCCGGTTTGCATGCCAGCAGCTGGCCCGTGCTGGTCAGTGAGTGCGACTTGCGTGCCCGGCCGACGGCCGTCGTCTTTGTCCCGGTGGCCGCGTGCCCCGGGTGGAGCGCGGCCGGCCAGGCGGCGATTGGGCACTGCCTTGTGGCCGTGGCCACCGGCGACGGGCTGGTCCGGTTGCTGGACTTCGGCCAGCCGCTCGAGGTGGTTTCGATCAGCAACGGGACTCCTGTCATGGCGGGATCCGGGTCGGCGCTCCCCACGGCCGCGGTGATGACGCTGGCGGTCTGGCGCGCGCCCCTGCTGCCCGACAGTATGGGGCTGCCCTTCCCCCGGGCCGGGGGGACCACCCCTTCCAAGGATGGCCCCACCCCGGATCCGGTCACCGCACTGGCCGTGGTCCTCACGAGTCGGGGCTCCGGGCAGCCGCGCTACCTCCTGGTGCAGGGGACCTTCGCCGGGCGCATGTACGCGCTGGATCTGGTGACCGGGCGCCGGGCCTGGGAGACACGCATTGCCGGGCCCGTGGCCCCGATTCAGGCCCTGGTGGCCGAGCCGGCGGTCAGCGTTGCCCCCTTCCTCGGTCAGGAAACCGCCTCATCGGTCATCGGCCAGTGCCTCGGGGCCACCAGGGCCGGGATGGCCGGGATGGCCGGCGGCCTGGGTGAACATCCCGGAGCCGGCCATCACTCGGCGTCGGGCTCCTCCGGGGGACCGGGGCCCGGCGGTCCTGGTGGCATGGGCTCCTCCGGGCCGGGTGGCTCCGGTGTCGGGCCGGCCGGTCCCGCCGGCGGCTCGGGAGCCTCCTCGCACGGTGGCCCTGGGGCCTCGTCCTCGGTCAGCGGGTCCTCCAGCTCCTCCGGGTCGGGCCTGGTGGGCGTGTCGCCATCCAGTGGTGGCACCGGTGGCGGGTCCACCTCAGCCGGGCTGGCCGGGACCGGGGACTCGCGCGGCGGCTCGGCCAGCGGAGGCATCGGCCCCGGTGGGTCTGGGGGATCGCACTCCTCCACCGGGGCCACGCCCAACCCGCTTGGTGGCCCGGGGCTGTCGTCCGGATCCGGTGTCGGGTCCGCCGGCGGCGGCCTCGGCGGGTCTGCTGGCCTCGGCGGTGCCGAGGCTGATGCCTTCCTGAATGTCGGGTGCACCGTGCCCGCCGTGAGCTCATGGCTGGTGGCGGTGACGCGCACGGCGCGGGTGTCTCTTTTCGACATTCGAAATGGGGTGCTGCCAATTGAGCTGACCGATGGCCGGCGCTCGGCCCCGGTGCCGACACTGACTCGAGCGCATTCGGCCGTGGCGCATCCGCTGCTGGCGGCCACCATCCTGGTGGCTGGCGACCAGCCGGAGGTGGTGCAGTTGGATTTGGAGCGCCTGGCCCGGCGCCAAGCCGAGCCGCAGACGTGCGTCTACTCGCTGGCCGGGCGCTCGGATCGCAATGCCTCGCGAGCGGCGGCCCCGGGGAAGTCCTTCGGCCAGGCCCCGACCGGCGAGGTCCGGGCTCTGGCGGCCGCCGGGCCGGGGATCGTGCGCCTGCGTGGGCGCATGCTCAGTCCAACCTTCGACCAGGCCATTGGCCAGCTGCTTAGCCAAGGCCCCGGGGGGCCTGGGCCTGGTAGCACTCTGTCCCCCAGCCGGTCGGGCTTCCTGTGTGTCAATTGCCTGGGTGGGTTGTCCCTGCCGGCGCCCCTGTGCCAGAGCCCTGGTGCGCTGGCGGCGGCGGCGGCGGCGGCGGCGGCCGGCACCGCCGGGGCCGTGCTGCCCAGCACGGACTCGCCCTCCGGCGATGCTGCCGACCCGGCGGCTCAGCAGCTGGACCTGCCGCGGACATACTGCGCCAACTTTGCCCAATGCGTTGGGGCCCTGGCGTACATGGTTGCCGCCGGGTCCTCGCGTCACATTTGGCAATTCCAGCTGGGTGCTCCCTTCAACACGGCCCTTGTTTCGTCCTCGGTGGGGGCTTTCTCCCGGATGACGGAGCTCGTGAACTTCGCCCCGGTGGGCCCGGTTCCTCCGGGATCGGCCAGCCTCTCGATTGAAGAGCAGCTGTCGGCGGCCTTCGAGCTGTCACACGACCTGCCGGGGATGATGGGGTCCCGCCCGGCGCGTCTGCGTCTGGGACCGGCGGGCTCGCCGGTTTTGCGGATCGACACTCAGCCGACCACCGACCTGACGGCCGGCTTTGGGGACGTCTTCAGCCAGGTGCCGGAGCGCGATGCCCGGCGTCCGGCCGGGGCGCCGCCGGACTCGCTGGCTGCGCTGGCCCTGCGCACCAGCCACCATGACACCATCACGGCTTTGTGCATTGTTGAGCGCGCTCCGGGAGCCGGGGCCGGCATGCCGGCGGCCATGGGCTCCGGCCCGGGGCTGGGCTCGGTCTCGGGGTCCGGCATGGCCGGCGGCCCTGCCCCCGGCGACATGGGCCCCGGCCCCGGTGGTAGTCCTGGCGGCGTGCTGGTGCCGGGGGGCAGTGGGTCGGGCATGGGGGTCACTCCGTCCGGTGCTCCCTTCCAGGCAGGCCGCGGCCGGGCCAACAGCATGCCGGCCCCCATCCGGCGGCTCCGTATGGGCTGCTGGGCCTCGGGGGAGGCCTGCATACCATGCGGACGTACTACCTCCGTGGGGCAGACTCTTCGGCCGGGATGGGCCGTACAGCGGCCTGGCCCGGGGCCGGGAGGATGCCGTCAACCGGGTCCAGCGGCACTGGCAGTCGGGCCAAGAGCGGTAGCAGTAGCAGCATCGAATCGCCGCTGTCAAGCGCCGGGGCTCGGGCCTCAGGCCCAGGAAGCTCGCTTGCTCCGGATGCCGGGGCCACCGAGACCAATCTCCTGTCCCTGATGTACGACCCGCTGACCCTGCAGCCGCTCTCGCTGCACACGCCCTTCAGCCAGTTTGTCGTGTCGGGCAGCCGCGACGGAACCATCTACATCTGGATCTAGGGCCAAGGGACACGGTGTGTCTCGCTGCCGAGAATGAATCGCCCTCTTTTTCGAGTCCTCCCTTTGCTTGCGTGTGCGTGTGCGTGCGCGTGTGCGTGTGCGTGCGCGTGCGCGTGCGCGTGCGCGTGTGCGTGTGCGTGCGCGTGCGCGTGCGCGTGTGCGGCGCGGCGGTAGTGTGTCTGGGAGGGGGGCGAGGGGGGGGGGGGGGGGGGGAACTACCAGCAATATGGCTCGTCCTGCGACTTGAGGAGACAAGACTCGGTAACGGCAGGGCATGCATGTATTCCGGGTTGTAGGTTCCAGCAACACATACCCAAAGGGATCTTCGGCTGCCCAGGGCGAAAGTACACACATACATACATACGCGCGCGCGCGCACCGAGAAGCGGACCCGCGCTCGTGAACCGAGCCGCCATCCACCGGCTGCAATGGCTGGTGTTTCGCTTTGTGCATTTGCACGTACGTGCGCGGCCCCCCCCCCCCCCCCCGCCGTCTTGTCCTGCGGGGATAATATACATACGCACACACGCACACGCACACGCACACACGAAAGTACATAAGAAGACGCTGTGCAGGAAAAGGAAATTTGATATATATTCAAAATTGAGAAAAGGGGGATATCTCTAGGGCAGGCACAGGCATGCGGCATTTCGTGCTCTGAGGAGGCGCACGCGCACGCACGCAGTGTATGGGGATTTTTTGTTCCCCACTCAATCTCTCTCTGTCTCTTCCTGGGGGTCTTCTACTCGCCGCCGCCTCCTCCTCCGTTGCCCTGTGCTCGGGCCCGCGCCAGGATACTCAGGCCCGGCGCGGGGCACCGTAGCGCATGCACCCGCAAGCAAACACCAGGCGTGTGGCTGATGCAGGGAAGAGCGGCGGGAGAAAGAGGAGAAGCGAGAGCAGGAAAGGTAAAGAGGGGGAGAGATGCCGAAGACCGGAAAAGCAGGAGAAATGGCGGGGTGCGGAAAGGGGGGGGGGAGGGCCTCGCCCGCTTCCATCCACGTGGTACACATACCGCGCGTGCCCGTGTGTGCGCGCGATCAGCACGCTCCGTGAGCCAGGGAAGGGGGAAGAAGAAGGGCGAGCGGGGAGGGGGGACAACGAGGGGGATAGCGAGCACGCGGGAACGCTTCTCCTCCTCGGGTCTTTTGCAGCAGAGCACAGAGGAGGAAAGAGAGGGGGGGAGGGGACGAAGAGGGCCGCCCCGCCGCCGGAGAGGGAGGGGTGGTTCTCTCTTGCTCGTCGTGCGCCTCTCGGGCGCACGCGCGCAAAAGGGGAAATCAAAAAGAAAATCGAGGGAAGAACAAGCAAGCATCCCAGCAGGAAGACAGCGCGCGGCATACTCTGCTGCGCATGGCGTTTGCTGCCTGCTGCTCGGATCGAGGAGGAGGAAAAGGATCGCAACCGGCGCATGGCCGCGCGCGGGGGCGCACATGCTCCGCCTGCAATCATCCCCCACGAATGACACGCAGAGAGGGAGGAGGGAGGAGGGGACAGGGGGAAGGGAGGGGCGCCTTGGGCGGGGAAAGGAGACGGGAGAGGGGGGAAGGGCGGCGCGCCTCTCCGACGCAGCGTGAGAGGAAGAGGAGCGCCTTTCCGGGCTTCCGTCTTCACCCAAAAGCCCAGACACTCTAGTAGCGCCTTTCCTCTCGCCCTCTCGCCCTTTCACACTCTATATCTCGCACCCTCGCTGGGGCTTCTCACAGAGGCCAGGTGGCTCTCTTGCGCGTGGCCAGGCACGCGGCGCTGCTGTTCCGCCCGCTCCGAATCCCCCGCCCGCTCCGAATCCCCCGCCCGCTCCGAATCCCCCGCCCGCTCCGAACCCCCCGCCCTGGCGGTGGCCATGGATGCAGCATGCACCCCCGCGGAAAGGACGAGGAAGCGGGGGGGGGGGGGGGCAGGGGAAGGGGGGAGAGAGAAAGGCGCCAGGCAGGAGCCTTACACATCAGCCTCGCCTGGGGTAGAGGATGACGCAGCGTCGGCCGGGGCGTCGGCCTTGCCGGTCGCGGCATCCATCGGCAGCGAGGCATCCGCATGCTCAGCAGCACCGGAGGCCGCGCCGGCCGTGTTGAGCTCGGCCGCGGCGGCAGGAGTCCCACCGGCGGCAGGCTCGACAATGACGCCCTCGAGGGCCGGGGAATCTGAAGAAGAGGGCCCAGGAGCGGCCTGAGCAGCGGCCAGGGCAGCGGCGGTCTCCTTGCGCTGCTTGGCCTTGCGCTGCTTCTGGGACTCCTCGATGTCGGCGGCGGCCGCATTGGCCACCTCCACCAGGAAGCGGTTGCCACTCGGGGTCATGGCCCAAGACCGGACCAGGTTGTCCAACTGCAGGCGGCACTCGCGCTGGGCATCGCGCAGCAGATCGCGCGGAACATCCGGCACAGTCACCGAGGGGGAGGACGAGCCCGGGACCTCAGGCAGGGACTTGAACTTCCGGAGGATCTCATTCCGGATGGAGGAGTCGATGTTGATCTCCAGGTCGGCGCCAGCACGGATGTGCTTGTCCAAGATGCGACGCATCTCCGAGTGACGGACCTCCGGCGTGCGGACATGCCAGTCACGGGCAAAGTTGTCGGCAGTCCGGTAGAAAATCAGAATCTCCGAGCACCAGGACCGGACGCAGAAGTTCTCAAAGTCATCCATGCAGGCGGTGGTGCCGCGATTGATGATGTCCTTGTAGAGGAACCGGCGCATGCGGGGGCGCGAGCCGGAGGAGGTATTCCGAGTGGGCATGCCGGTGGTCTTCTTGGTGTCGAGCTTGGCCCCATCCGAGGCCTTGGCCCCCGAGGCGGCGGCATAGTTGTCGGCCGAGGCCAGATCCCCGGAGGTGGAGGTGGCGGTGTCGTTGCCGCTGGACCCGGCGCCATTCTGCGTGAGGCTGGTGGTATCCTGGCCGGCGCCAGACCCGTGGGTGGCCTTGCCCATGTCGGCCATCATGATGTCACCGCTGAGGGAGGCGGAGCCGTTGCTGCTGGCGTTGCGCTCGCGAGCCTTGATGAAGCGATCAACCTCCGAGCGGGACATGCTGGTCTTGGTGAGCTGGACGAAGAGCGGCGTGTAGGACAGGTAGACCGGGTACAGGCAGATGAAGACGCAGTAGAAGGCGAGACTCCAAAGGACGATGATCGAGGGATCGAAGAGGAAGGTGAAGCGGACGATGAACCAGAAGACGTTCAGAGCAACGGCGATGATGAGACAGATCTAAGACCGGAGCAAGGGGCAGGGGGAGGGGGGGGG